AGTGGTGGTTTAACTATTTGTTAGGGAAAAAAAAAAATCATGGACAATTCTTAGGGGGTGCGGGTTTTGTGTGTGGTGACACATGATATGGATCCAAGTCCGAAGTGTGGGGGCCAAGGGGCTGACCCGCAACTTTGAAAAAAAACCTACTCTACCACACACACACACACACACACGTGACACGCACACACACACACACATACACGGGGGCACACACATACATACACAGACACAGACAGACAGACAGACACACACACGTGACACTCACACACACACACACACACGTGACACACACACACACACACACACACACACACACACACACACAATCAGTTTTATGTTTGTCGGTCTTTTTCCTATTGTCTGTCTTCCCTCTGCCCTCTAATTCTTTCTAAGCATTTTGCGTGTGCCCAACTGAGCACCCTTAGGTAGTGCCAAACAGTCGGTAGTTCCTCGTTTGGAGCGCCAACTGCACTCTTAGGGGGGCCGCTCAGTTCGGGATGTCTGTGTTGCCTGTAGGTGATGACGGATGCTCGTCGGAGTGTCTCCCTGACTCAGTGGGTGGTGGGAACCAACAGTCTGTGGGGTTCACACATGATGTCCGTAGGTGATGTGCTGCTTTGCTCCGTGTTGGATGTGTTGGACGACCCCGTCTGCGCTCCACCACTGCCTTGCTGCCCGTTCCGCTTACCTCGCAGGTCGTTCTTGGCATGTTGTTGTCTTCTCTGTGTGGTGTTGCCTTGTGCTTCGCTTCCTTGCCCCCCGTCCGCTGGTTGTGCCTTCCGGGTCCTTTGCTTGCGCGCCCTGTAGTTTGGTTGCCGTGTTGGGGTTGCTTTGTGCTCCTCAGCATGGTTGCTCTGCTGCTTATCCGCTTGCCCTCTCGTCCCTTGCAGTGTGGTTGTCTTGGTGGTGTTGCCTGATGCTTCACTGCTTGGGTGTCGTGGTACGAGTTCGGCATGCCGTGTCGTTCCTTGCAGTCCTTTTTGGCGTTGTGCAGCCGTGTTGCCTCTACTGCGCTGCCTGGTGCTCCGCAGGATTGTTGCCCGCTGCTATGTTCCGCTTGCGGACAGTCTGCCTTCAACAGGGGTCAAAGGGTTCATGACCCAAACCATCATATACGGAGATTCCGCAAATTGTCAAGGGTTCAGCCTCCTGATGAGTCGGTGCAACTCGAATGAAACAATCTTGTCATCATCAGTTTTTTTATTTCGGTCTTCCAATTTACTTGGGATGTGTATTTTTTTCGGTTTACCTACTTTCGTGTGCTTGTGTGTCCGTTTCGTGTTCTTGCATGTTGCCTGCCCTCCCACCTCCCCCGTGCCCTCCAGCCTATGCCTTAATGTCCTTTTGCTTGCTTTGCTCTGATGTTTTTCTTCTCTGCCTGGTCTTGGCATCCTTTTGGGACTTTGCCTGTTGGTGTGCTTGCACGTTGTCTTCCCTCCCACTTCCCCCCTGCCCTCCAGCTGTTGTATCTTTAGTATCTATGTTGTGGGCACTTTGTGTCTTTTGCTTGTGAGTGCACTTGACTGTGAAGCGTTGGAACGCATCTTAGGGAGGTATGTTGAATCTAGTCCCTGGGGAAAACCATGTCTTGGTGTGAAGCTGATAACTGGGGTTTACAATATACTTAAACATCACACACACACACACACACACACACACGTGATCTGCACACACACACGCACACACACACACTCTATATACGACATTCTATGACACTCTGTTGTACACTATGACACTCTGCTCTACTCTACGACACTCTATTCTACTCTACGACACTCTAGGACACTCTACTCTACTTTACGACACTGTACTCTACTCTACTCTACTCTACGATATTCTCCTCTGCTCTGCGACACTCTATGACACTTTACCTAACGACACACTACTCCACTCTACTCTACTCTACTCTACTCTACTCTACGACACTCTACTCTACTCTACGACAATCTACTCTACGATACTTTACTCTACGACACTCTACTCTACGATACTTTACTCTACGACACTCTACTCTCCTCTACGACACTCTACTGTAATCTACTCTGCTCTATTCTATGACACTCTACGACACTCTACGACACTCTACAAAACTCTACAAAACTTTACTCTACTCTAATCTACTCTACTCTACTCAGCTCGACTCTACTCTACTCTACGCTACTCTACTCTACAACACTCTACCCTACTCTACTCTACTCTACGACACTCTACGACACTGTATTCTACTCTACTCTACTCTACTCAAGTCTATGACACTCGACTATACTCTACAACAATACTCTATTGTACGACACTCTACGACACTCTACGCTACTCTACAACACTCTACTCTACTCTACTCTACTCTACTCTACTCTACTCTACTCTACTCTACTCTACTCTACTCTACTCTACTCTACTCCACTGTACTCCACTCTACTGTACTCCACTCTACTCCACCCTACAATACGACATTCTAGTTTACTGTACTCTTCGACACTCAACTGTACCCTACTCTACATCGTCTAGGACACTCTACTCTACAACACTCTACTCTCCTCTACGACACGCTACTGTAATCTACTCGACGACACTCTACTAAACTCTACTCAACTCTCTCACACTCTACTCTACTATACTCTACTCTACTCTACTCTACCTACTCTACTCTACTCTACGACAATATACTCTACGATACTCTACTCTATGACACTCTACTCTCCTCTACGACACTCTACTATACTCTACTCTACGACACTCTATGACAATCTATTGTACTCTATGACACTCTACTCTACTCTATGACACTGTACTCTACTCTACTCTACTATACTATACTCTACTCTACTCTACTCTACTCTACTCTACTCTACTCTACTCTACTCTACTCTACGATACTCTACAACACTCCTCTACTCTACGGCACTCTACTCTACTCTACAACACTCTACTCTAGAACACTCCACTCTACAACACTCTACTCTAGAACACTCTACTCTACAACACTTTACTCTACTCTACGACATTGTACTCTATTCTACTCTACGACACTCTACTCTACTCTATGACACTTTAGGACACTCTACTCTAGTCTACGACATTGTACTCTATGCCACTCTACGACACTCTATGATACTCTACTCTACTTTACTTTACTCTATGACACTCTACTCTACTCTGCGACACTCTACTCTACTATGACGCTCTACTCTTCTCTACTCCGCGACACTCTACTTTACTCTTCTCTACTCTATTGTACGACAATCTACTCTACTCTATTGTACAACAATCTACTCTACTCTACGACACTTTACTCTCCTCTACGACACTCTACTATAATCTACTCGACGACACTCTACGACCTAAACTGTAATCTACTTGATGACACTTTACTCCACTCTATGACACTATACTCTACTTTACTTTACTCTTCTCTACTCTACGACACTTCACTCTCCTCTACGACACTCTACTGTACTCTACGACACTCTATGACATTCTATGACACTCTACTCTATGACACCCTACTCTACTCTACTGTACTCTACTCTTCTCTACTCTATGACACTCTCTACAACACTCTACTCTACTCTGTTGTACTCTATTGTACTGTATTGTGCTTCACTCTGCTCTATGACACTCTACTCTATTCTAAGACACTCTACGGCACTCTCCTCTACTCTATGGTACTTTCTTTACCGTTTCGGTAGTTTTGATTGTGGGCGTAACCCGCACCTCCCGCAGCATAGACGCTAAGCTATTTGTCAATTGAACTCTTACTTCGTAGCTAGTTTTAGGCTATTCTTTATTACCCTGTGATTCATTTTTTTTCCCCCTTAAGTCTGTCTCAGTTTATTCGAGTGGTCCGTGTCAGGTTGCCTACAACATTTCTTATTTCTGCGAGCATGGCCCGCACCGCCCGCACCGCCCGCACTTAGCTAGTTTAAATAATGAAACATAACGTACATCAGTTTTGAAGAGAGGGAGAATATTCAACTTTTGGACACATGGGACAGTCCCAAGCTGGGAATACCTTCAGGGCAGCTGCCACAGAACACAAACCCTAAACTTTTAACCCTTACTTATTCAACTCTAAAGGGCCTAAATTTTGTAAACCCTTAACGAGAAACCCCTAAATATGAACCCTTAACTCCCCTAAAGAGCCCAATGACCTCTAAGCCCCTTACTCAAAACCCTAGGAGGCGGACTAAACCCCCTGAGTAGAATTGCATGGCGGCAATTAACACCGGTCGGGGAGCCAAGTTTCATTGGATGAGTGTACTACTGTAATTCAATCATTGAGTCTTCATTGATGTGATGCTTTTTTTTTTTTTTTTTTTTTTTTTTTTTTTTTTTTTTTTTTTTTTGTGTGTGTGTGTGTGTGTGTTTGTGAATGGATGGTAGTTATCTTTGGAGTCTCGTCAGTGTAGGAATGTATTTCTCACACAAATTCCAAACCCTAAGCTCTGTGAAGTTGACACCCTAAACCCTAAATCCTTAACCCTAAACGGCTTAAACACAACCTTGAGGCTTAAACCTTAAACCCTGAACGTGTACAGCTTGAACCCTGAGCTAACTAATAATATTATTTTTATTTTTATTATTTACTATTTATTATTTTATATATAGGGTACCAGCCCGGCCACCCGGGTCACCTTGTTTGCCCAGGCTGCCCGGCCGTGCAAGGTCCCAGCTAAAAAGAGAAAACAAATCCAAAAGCTCTGGAAAAACAATTATGATATGCAGAAAAATAAACTGAACAACTGTCGCCTCAGAGTCACATTGAAATTCTTTACCAAATTAAAAATAAAAAATGCAATAAAAATTCAAAAAACGAATTTGGTAATTTGTTTTTGCCCTGGCCGGGCAAGTGGCCTACATTTTATTATTATTTATAATTTATTTTTATTATTAACTTGTTATTATGAGATCTAACTTGCCGTCTGTGATGATTCATTTGGTAATCAATGTCTTCCTTGGACATCCCTTTTTAATAAGTTTTTATTTTTTCGCAACTTTCTGGCGGTTTGTGTTTGTTTGGCGGGGAAGCAAAAGGGTTGGGGGTGCTGTTAACTTGTAGCCCAAAGGTCCTCCTCACCTTTCCTCAATTTTTATTAGTTTTTTTATTTTTTTTGCGTCCTTACCTTTCCTCCGTTGCAGATGAAGATGTTTCCCGGGTGTGGGTCCGCATGGAAATACCCATCCCTCAAAATCATCAGCCCGTACGCTGCCGTTAAATCCTTCAGAATATGCCTAAAGAGCATGCAGAGCAGAAGACGAAGAAGAACAAGCGGGCAAATTAACCACACAGAATTTGTTGTTGTTTTTCTGTGTTTCATAAGAGGATCTCTGATACATGTGGAAGTTGGACTGTGTTACAAGCTTACATGATTTATTTTATTTATTTATTTTATTTTACTTTTTATACCATGTTTTCCACTGGTGTTGTTAAAAAAAGACTGATTTACCAACTGCCTAGCTCAGTTAATACACCCGTGAACTGTTGAAACACAGACCCAAGTTCAAATCCAGACGCAACCAGATGGAACTCTGAATTTTCATGGGCCCACTCAGGTCAAAGATGATAACTCAACGTCGTCACCTTAGAAAAAAACTCTCTCTCTCTCTCTCTCTCTCTCTCTCTCTCTCTCTCTCTCTCTCTCTCTCTCTCTCTCTCTCTC